AGAAGAACTCTGAGTAGCAGGTACAAGTTCATCAAACTGTGCACGCAACATCGGAGCACCTCCCTGCATGTAAATTATACCTCAATAGAAAAAGTTATTAAAAATGAGTTTGATTTTATCTTCTCTTAGAATTTAACAATTACTCAGACTTTGAGAGGAATGAGCATTTCTGTAACTTGGCAATCAAAAATACCGAGACTATGGGAAGTTGTTCCAAGTAAAATGGGTACTGATAAAAACGCAAATAAACTAAAAGCTCATTTTCAACTTTGAACAACTCAAATATATGCTCCTAAATATTTTAAAGTCTCCACTCAGAAGTGGTTCACCAAGTTGCAAACCCAACACCTCCGAAATCAGGTCCCATCTCTGCTACTCTCCGTTTTTTCCTGCCTTCTGTACTTCCTCTGAGGTTCCATGATTCATTCAAGTCAGAAACAGGAATCATCCTCGACCCCAGCCCCTCCATCAGCCCCCTCTCCCGTCTAATGATTTCCAACTCCAATTTCCACAAAGTCGCTCCCTCCCTGCCTCCCTCCCTCCCTCCACCACAGTCCACACTCCCCCCATTACCATCTTAGATAATACACCTGCCCCTCACTAGTCTCCACCTCCTTGCAGAACGGCTCTTTACGAATCTGGATTTGATCATGTGACTCCTCTACTTGGAATTTTTCGGTGGCTTCCTGTCACTTTTAGGGCCAGATTCAAATCTTTAAACATCATATATGGGACATTCCAAGAAGTGACGCCTGCCTACTTTCCCACCCTGTCTTCTGACACCTTCATGTGGCACACTATCCTGGTGTTTGTTCTGTAAGCACTTGCATCCCCTGCTCCCCGCCTGCCAGCTCCCGTCGCTTCCGGCAGCACCTCAAACCTCAGCTCTAGCACAACAACACGTGGCAGGCCTTACCTCACCCTCCGCACCCTCGCCCCCCGAAGCTGGAATAGTTAGCCCTCCTTCTGCGGGGGCCCTGCGTACCACTCTGAGAAGTTAAGGACTGTACTGGCTGTTTTACTCAGCTGTATGCCCACAGGACTGTGAACCACTACGAGATGGGCCTATATCGTTGATCGTGTATCTTCATGGCCCAGAGCAGAGCCTGTACCTCAGTAGTTGCTCGATATGCATTTCTTGAATAAATAAATGATCAAATCAATACCAATATGCGTATTAGGCACTTATTAACATAAGCTAAGACCTCTAGGGCTGCCAGACTAAAGCTGCTTATGGGCCTTACTGATCATGTCAGAAGATGCTGGTGACAGGGGAGCCATGAGCGAAAGTTCTGGACAGAGGTAATGGGGTGAGACCACCACCACTGCTAGAATATTCCACAATGGAGTGAGTTACTAATGTTATCTCCATTTTCAGAGAGACAAGAGCAGCAGAATCACCCAGAAACACTGATGCTCACATAACTCCATTTTGAATAACATGATTATCATCACAAAACATAAAATTAACTTTTTTTTCTGGCATAGTATGACAGAAAAATTGTTAATGGAAACAGTTAGCCAAATGGCCTTAAAGTACTATTTGGCAGGAAATTTGACTCTGATGAATTTCCTAAGCAATTTCTTCAAAAATCATTCAATTTGTGCTATGTATATTTATGCTGTCATACTGCTAGAAATATGCAGTACGATTTCAAGTAAAAATATGAGTTTGAGAGAATGGTGAAAACCCACTAAAGGAGCAGGGATTCCAAAATCAATTTTTTAAAACAAACGATTGACTGTGGGGCCAGCCCAGTGGCGTAGCGGTTAAGTGCGCACGCTCTGCTGAGGCGGCCAGGGGTTTGCAGGTTCGGATCCCGGGCGCGCACCGAGGCACCACTTGTCAAGCCATGCTGTGGCGGCGTCCCATATAAAGTGGAGGAAGATAGGCACGGATGTTAGCCCAGGGCCAGTGTTCCTCAGCAAAAAGAGGAGGATTGGCATGGATGTTAGCTCATGGCTAATCTTCCTCACAAAAGAAAAAAACAAACAAACAAAGATTGACTTCTAATATCAGAATGATCAATTCTTAGGATTGATCTTTTACATCCTTGCCAAGCGTCCAGTGCCAAAACACTTATACATTTACAAATATAAACAAAAGATGGCAAAATTTAAACCACTGGACAACTTATTTTTCTATAATGAGTCATAATTAATCTTCAACATTCTGAGTCTTAACTGAAGTATTAACGTATATTAAGAGAAAGATGCCAAAGAATACGATACCCTAGTTTTATCACATACAAACAGCTCCCAAACTCATCAGCTCTTAGACATCATTTATTTAACATCCTCGAGAGCACAGCAGCTGAAATGTGGACTCTGGAGCCAGGATGCAAGGATCAGCAAGTACTTTGCCTTGCTGTGTCTCAGTTTTCTCATCTTAACAGCATGTCTATTTCTTGGGCTATTGGAAATAAAATGAGTTAATTCATGTAATATACCTAGAAGAGCACCTACATGATGCTGAATAAACGTTAGCACTCCCCGTCCCCTGTGTGTGGCTGGATACAATGGTAGATTGACAGTTCCTACCCATGGGATTATCACACTGATAAATATACTAACTTTAATAAGCAATATAAAGACTGTATAACCTAGTCTTAGAATGATCAGGGAAGGCAAAATAATTGTCAATTAGATTCTGAGAGCCAGGAAAAAGTGAGCTAATATCCAGTATTTTGCAGAGGTCGTCAATTTGAGTTTTCTACTAAAAACAGAATTTTCAGGATTGAAAGGTAGCAAGAAGACAGGCCCCACAATTAGTGTGTTTGCAGTTTCTGCAAGCACAACACAATTAAACACAACTACAAAAGCAATAAGCTTAATGTACAAAAAGATCATGAATACAGATTTATGAACATTATTCTTTTGTAAGATTGAATACTAAAAAAAATGTAATAAAAAGTAAGACTAAGAAGATAATAGGAAAAAGCAAATCAAGTGCAATCATTAAAAATAACTATCTCTAACTCTCAGCCTTACATTCTCTTTTGGCAAGGTCAAACTACAAGCATGCAGTGGGTCAATCAAATTTTTATGATACCAAATTACAGGTTATAACTTCCTGAGCAGGTCTTTCAGAATTTAGCTTCTCTCGCTCCACCTCAAAGATCAGGCTCATTAATTACTAAACAATAACAGCCACAGCCACCATTTACGGGGAGCTTTTTATGTGCCAGGAAGTATGTATATTAATCAAATTTTCATTTTTATGTGCTTCAGTCATTAAATACCTCATCTAAAATAGCATCTTATTCCAGCACTCTAGCCACCTAGCATTTTATATTTATGTTCCAAGGAAATTCTTGGGCTTAGTTTATAAAACATGGAAAGAAAAGCACAGAACTTTTTGGCCAGAAAATAATATTACCTTTCATACCTTCACTAAAATTATATCAATATCTAAAAAGATGAACTATAACTAGAAAAAAGTCAATACTGTAGACACTCATTATTTTTAGGTATACTTATAAAACAATTTTCTTTAAAGGAATGGATAGTAATCAAAATGCTCATTCAGTAACCTGCTCTGCCTCCTCAAGATAAAAACAAGGCACTCCGTGAAGCATCGCCCAACGATAAAGAGGAAACTACAAAAGTAGGACAGAAACATCAATTTTCCTTGCCCTGTGCATCTTTCCTAAACACAAAATATACATTCACGCCCAACAATCATCATGTAAAAGATGGATTTCTCCACGGATCTCTTTTCTCATTCATACTATAATACCAACAATTCAGTTCTCTTAAGTATTTGTACATATCATCATAAATGTACATGGTGTGACAACTATCAAAACCTAAAACATCCTGGGGCCGGCCCGGTGGCATAGTGGTTAAGTTCACACGCTCCGCTTAGGCGGCCCAGGGTTCACAGGTTCGGATCCCAGGCACAGAACTATGCATCACTTATCAAGCCATGCTGTGGCAGGCACCCCACATATAAAGTAGAGGAAGACGGGCACAGATGGTAGCCCAGGGCCAATCTTCCTCAGCAAAAAAAAAAAAAAACCTAAAACATCCCAATCATAAAAAAGCAAAGGTGAGCTGAGGTATAACTAAAAATATTCTTTGCTTAAAAAGTTATATTGTTCCTTAAAATTGAGTATTCAATAAATTTTGGCGGCTCAATTATTTCTACCAAAATCAATAATAGTAATGCATATCATTGCTACAAAATTCATATTAAGCATAATGTGAAAAATGAGTAAAAATTGAACCAATAAATGACCCAAAAAGAAAAAAATGGAAATAAAACACAAAAACAAGAAGAAATACACTTGGGAAAGAGATATTGGAAAATTGTCTCTTAAAACATTTTTCCCCCACTATGAGAATAGAAGGTTTATGTTATCTTCTGATTGCTGGTATAGTTAATATCATCTCTAAAATGCATTTGAAAGCACCACTTCCATTCTTTAAATTCACTGATGATGATAAGGGACGTGTGGGGAAGGTAGGGAAAGTAGAGAAATGGGTTCAACACAGTGGGCTGAAGGGAAAGACTGGGGAGTACCGACAAGTCCCAGGCAGCCTGCATTGCCAGGGGGCACTCATGATGCTCTCAAGGAAGATGGGGTATGGGAAGGAGGAGGAGGAACGTCACAAATTTATGCACTGTTAAACTTCATCTCAAGGCAATTCTGATTCCATATTCTCCATCAAATAGCTTGCCAGTCAAAAAAAGGAGGAAAAAAATCCCCTAATTTCTATTACTGCCATCTATAATGGCAAAAATCATATGGTACTTTGATCATTAATACTCCACAAATTCTGCTCAACAAATATGTACTAGACTGAGTCTGACGTGTATTTTCCATTACTTTGGCTCATCTGATCAAAACAGAAAATTTTCTTTTTAAATTTAGGTATAATTAATTCTTCTCAGGATTTTTACTCTTCATAGATTTACTTCATACAGCTAGTACGAATATCAATAGCGTATTAAATTAAACAAAAAAGGAAAAAGCAATACATCTAACAAAACATACCTGGTGGTATCTCCTGTTGTTCTTCTACAGGGGGCGCACGTACTTCTAAAATAAATGATAAAGTTACAATCCATTACATACTGCTGACCAGTATTTAAAACACAGATTGCTTGCATTTAAGTTATGGTGATTATTTTTACAGACTTTTTTGGGATTCAATTGCAATTATCATAAAAGTATTAGGTTTTTACACCATCACAACAAAGAAGAATGAGCTATAACTTCATAACATGTTGTATATTTCTCAACTGTTCTGCACTATCGGCTTTATAACACAATCTGCCTAATGACTAACCTCAAAACTCACTGTTCAGCAAAGGAGAAAGGAACAAACTCAGGCTTTCACAATTTTGCATCAGACTTGATAAGAAAACTGAGGAAAGACATTTACAGCATCTTGTTTCTTCTTTACAAGTTTTTACTTCATAACCCTAGTTTTAACGTGAATGAAACAACAAAGAAATTAAATTGAAATAGAATCTTAAAAATAAATCATTATCCTTAAAGTTGTCATTGAAAAATAATATTCCAGATGACATATTCTAAGACTAGCCAAAAAAGTGGATATGAATTTTTAACGTCTTGTCTTTTTCCCTGGCTGCTTCAACCCACTTACAACTAAAGAGACTGTAGATCTCACCAGCCAATGGTGTAATGATATACTGATCTGATCTGCTCTATAAAGTTACATCACATATTAATATCTTCACACCTAACAGCTCATTTGACATTACCTTAATCTAGAGATAAGATTATATCAGCTTTCCTTTTGCTCCTTAAGATTTCTAACAGGCTTTGGTCAAAAGAAAAAAAAAATTTTTCCCCCCCCAAACCCCAGTAGACAGTTGTACGTCATAGTTGCACATCCTTCTAGTTGCTGTATGTGGGATGCGGCCTCAGCATGGCCGGAGAAGCGGTGTGTCAGTGTGCGCCCGGGATCCGAACACGGGTTGCCAGTAGCGGAGCACGCGCACTTAACCGCTAAGCCACAGTGCCGGCCCAAAAGAAAAAAATTTTAATAGCATTTTCTAAAACTGAAAATATTTATGCAGCTATTTTAATCATTTTTCTCCTTGCATTAATTTGTTTCTAATTATAAGAATGATACATGCTCAAAACAGAAGATTTAGAAATATTTACATAAGAGTAAAAAGGAAACAGAAAAATCTCATACATATTCCCACTGATCAATGTTAGTATTCTGGTGTATTTCCTTCTTTTGGTGCCAGTACTAGCTGGCTGTGTTGTGACTGGCTTGTTAGTGGTTTGCCTATTTATTTGGTTCTTAATAATTTACAGACGTATTAGCACTTTCCCAATTTTACCAATATTTTTCTCAGAATTTCCTTTACTTTTGTCATTTTAGGTACATGTGAAAAAACTGTGTACATCATAAAGTATTAATCGCTTCTGTTGTTATTTCCATCATTGATGTCATACTAAGAAAGCCTTTATTATTATTGCAATATTAAAATTAAATTTTCATCTGATTTTATTCTGAAAAAATGTATATTTAAAAAACTTATCTGAAAATTATTTTGGCAATGATGTAACAAGAGGATTTTTAAAAGGAAATAGCCAATTAATTATATCAGCACAACCTGAAAGAGGTGTCTATTGATATAGCTTACTTTTTCTTACTCCAGGACTTTTTAAACCCACCTCAGTATGGTTTTCACTCCCATCAACTTACTCAAATAGCTTTTGCTGAGATCACCAACCATCTCCACATTGCCAAATGCAAATGACACTTTCAGTCTTGAAATTCCAATGGCAGTAGCATGGAACATATTGCCTCCTTCCTTCTGCTCTTTCACATTCTTCCCCCCCGGTTTTCCTCAAGCCTCACTGGTTCTTCATGTTCCACCAAACCTCACAATGTTGGGGTCCTCAGAACGCAGTCCTGGGACTGCTTGTCTACTCTCTGCACTCATCTCCAAAACGATCTTATCTGTTTCCATGGAGTTAACACCATATTCATGATGATGGCTTCCAAATGTTTATACCCATCTCAGATCTCACTTGTCTAGTTCAGAGTGGCATATCCAACTCCCTACTTGATACCTCCACCTTGCTGTATCACAAAATTCCCAAACTGAAAATATCTAATATGGAGTGTTTGATTTTTTCCCTAAACCAATTTCTTCTAGCATTCCAGTTTTCTTCTCAGCAAATGGCCCCATCATCCAATAGTTATTCACACCAAACCAAAGGTCCCCTTTATTCAGAAAGTTCCATCAGTTGTAATTCTAAAATATATCTCAAGTTCAAAACTTTCCCCTCCACTTTCACCGCCATGATCTTACTCAAGGCCACCAGGATCATTTCCCTGGATTAGTACACAATAATTTTCTAACAGAGTGGACCCTGCTTCCATCCTTGCTCCATCCAATCCATTCTCTAACTAGGAGTGGAAGTAATTCTTTGAAACATAAATCAGATTACACAATCTTTCACTTAAGTATTTCCATGGATTCTCACTATATTTAGAATATAATCCAATTTCCATACTAGGTCCTCCAAGGCCCAAACTGATCTATCTCCTGTCTCTTTATTGCTTAAGCCAATTCAAGTTCAGTTTTCTGTTACATGCAATAGAAAGTAACCTTACTGACACAGATGAGGAAGAACAGAAGGGTTTAAACATAGGGTTGATATAGTCAGATCTGTACTTCTGAACAGAATATCCTAATGGCATTGTGAAAGATGGATTTGAAAGGGACAAGTATGGAGTTAAGATGACTAGATGGAAGGCTACTGCCATTGTCCAGGAAGATGACAAGAGGCTGAACTAGATCACTAGAGTTACAAAGAAAAGACTGGATGTGAGAAAGGTTCAGGTAGACTAGTCAACAGGACTCAGCATTAGCTATGGAGACAGCGGGAAAGGAGCACTCGATGATAACTCCCACATTTCTGGTTTGGGAATCCAAGCATATATTGATGCAACCAGCCAAGATAAGGGAAGCGGGGAAAGAGAAGGTTGGAAGGCATGGGAAGATGATGAGTCCCCTCTCACTGTCTACTCGGGTGCTGCAGAAGCACAGAAACTGCAGGTTGGGCTGATGGTGCCCAGTCCAGACCCCCACCGTCCACCAGAAGGAATTCCCTGAGCAGTCTCTGCCATGTCCTCTATTGGCTTATTAAAATGCCTGAAAAGTCTTAGGGAAAAAACTGCATTTCTAATACAAGAAAGGCAGGGCCAAGTTGCATACTGTGATGTTTAGTTCTCTTACACAAAATAATATATGTGGGGTGGGTTGGATGAAGTTCTTCCTAGGGATTTTGGGTTTCCATTTTCTGATTCTAACTGAATGAAAAAACAGAGGCAGCCACATTCTTCACAGAGAACTGAGTAAAGGTAGGAGAAAATCTGAACTCAATCCAGCCTGCTACGTGGAGATGAAACTGCTTGTACACAGTGGTCCCACAGCACCCAGGCAGGGGTCTCTCCCAGCAGCTAAGTGCACAACAAGGGCAATTTTAGTGTCCCCCATTCCCTCCAGCCCTCTCTCTCTGCTCCCATTACGACTGTACTATTATCTATTCTGCCTAATAAAGCTCAAAAGAAGTAACATTTAGTCTGAAAACTGACAGTTGCTCATAAATGAATTCTAAGAGTAATTCTATGAGCAAAATTCCCCATTACATGTTCCCTGTGGCAACCCACTGCTGTTAAAGCACGGGGACCCCAGAGTCGACTGCAGGCCCCAAGCCTGGGTTGAATAACAGCTTAGTCACTTCTAGCCGGTAACGTGGGGCCAGCCCCTTGACTCCACGTCAGTTTCAGTTCTTCATTTGTAAAATAAGTACAATGATATTCGCCCTACCTCCTCTTCAGTGTCTTCTGTGAGCAACACCTGAAATCACATATGTGAAAGAACTCTGCAAACTGTTAAGAACTATATTAACCTAAGTTGTGTCAAAGTGCCACTGTGTAATATATGCCACAATTTTTATGTTTCAGAAACCCCTTCACTTTCAAAATTTTTTCCCAGCTGAATAAACAACATAAAGGACCCAGTGTTCAACCCATCTCTGCCCATGGCTAACTCCTCACAAGATCACCTTCTCTTATTTAGTGTAGCCCTCCTCACTTTAACCAGTTATTTTCTATTACACTATTCTGTTTCTATCTCTGTCAGTGCACTTTTCATAATCTGTAATTACTTTATCATCTGTTTGGCCACTAGAATGCCAGCCCTGGAAACAGGAATTACACCTGCCTCATTCACTCTCGTCCTCCCAGCCCCTGAGCACTGCATAGGTAGCAAAGACTAAGTGCTAAATCAATATTGTCGAAAAAATGAACACAATTTTAATATGAAAAGTAAACCTATCTCTATAAAATTAACTTACCTTCTAAAATTATGTTTGAATCTTCTACAGCAGTATCTAAAAAAAAGTAAACACATCTTACATTAACTCACCTCCACTAGGTCCTTAAATTAACTTATAGCCACTCAGAGACCTAAATGTGGCTCTTTTCAGGCTGAGGATTTTCACAGAGAGACTCATAAGTATTTATACTAGAATATCAACTTTAATTTCTAAATTATATTCAAAGAATACATTAATAGGCAGATATCATCCTTGTTGACATAAACCTTGCATCATAAATAGGAAATAAATATATTGACAATATCCAATTACTTCCTTGGTGACTTGAAAATGTCTTGTATTTCTTACTGCATCTATGTTTGTTCCACAAGTTACACGAGTTTTAACAAATACAGGTGGCTGACTTGCAGGAAACGGCTGCTTAGAGAAAAAGCTTACCTGAACTTTCTATCCCTTCGTTTTCCGATGGCTCGTATACTATAAAATACACACAAGAAATAATTCTTTAACACTGCATAACTCACAATATAACACAACATTGGCTGTAGGAGTCAGGAGCAGAGAGAATGTCTAATTTATCCTTGAACTTCTAGGGCTTAGTCACTGGGGAAAGGCAGGCTACAGAGCAGGGTGGGGAAGAGTTTGGTCTGGAGTGAAACAGGCCCAGATTCAAATCCCACCTCAGCCACTTTTTAGCCATGGAGATGGGCAGTTACATACGCTTCCTTCCTGTAAAATGGGGAAAATTAAAGTTCCTCCCCAATCACTTGTTACCAGGATCCAACAACTTGTTTACTCTCAGGTGGCATGAATTTCCTTTCTTCATTTTCTTTACGTCTTCGGTGGATGTTCTGAGTTACCCGAGGCTCCACCCTGCTTATCCCTCTGGATCTAGATTTTCACCAGGCAACCTAGATTTCTCCTTTGTTTAGGGAACAATTTTCAAATCTTTCGCCTAGGGGCAAACACCCCTGCTGCCAGCCCCCTAGAATGAGGGCTCAGCTGGCAGGCCCTTAATTCAGTACCCTAACCACAGCCCACCACCCAGTTCTCCTCTTATTTGCTTGCACAGAGCTTACTGCTTCTCTGCTCTGCTGCAAGGGCTCTGGTCTCTGCTACAGTCCTCTCATGCCCAGGTGGGTCGCAGCTTTCTTAGTCAACCTGATCCTTGCTTTTCCATCTTCCAAAATGCCTCAAATTTTCTGACACACGAGGAGCAAACTTTCTAATTTTCCCAGCACGGTTATAAATTTATTCCTTTTATTCATTTAACAAAGAAAAATTTTGGAGCACCTACTATCTTTCAGATATCATTCTCAGTGCTGCGCATCTGGAAGATGAAGACGCAGGGAATGTTTGCTCACTCTGTCACCCTGAACTGAGTCAGCATTTGAATGTGCTCAAGTCTCCACCAACTAAAAAAAGAAGCCCTTTCTGGAAGCTGCTTCCCCTTGCCCTCTCTTTTCCTCCATTTCACAATCTAATTTCTTCAAAGAGTCATTTACATTCTCATCTCACTTCCTCTCCTCAACCCACTCCAATCTGCCCTGGGGCCCTGACCACGTCAGGCTGAGAAGACTCCGCTGAGCCCACCAGTGAGCCCCTCACTGAATCTAATGCACACTTTCAGCCCTTACCCTATTAAATCTCCTAGTAGCTCCTTCTTTTTCAAACACTATTGCCCTGGGACTTCAATGGGACTATATACTCTTTTTTTGTGTGTGTGTCAGGAGGATCAGCCCTGAGCTAACATCCATGCTAATCCTCCTCTTTTTGCTGAGGAAGACTGGCCCTGGGCTAACATCTGTGCCCATCTTCCTCCTCTTTATATGGGACGCTGCCACAGTATGGCCTGACAAGCAGCGCCTTGGTGTGCGCCGGGGATCTGAACCCGGGCCACCAGCAGCAGAGCGCGCGCCGCGCACTTAACCACTACGCCACTGGGCCGGCCCCCATACACTCTTTTTATTCTTCCGTTTCTACTTCTCAATCTTCTTTATCACTTCATCCTCATCTTACCAAAGGCTGGCTTTCATCCAAGTCCAGCCATAGAAACTCCTCTCTTCCCTCTCTGTCCTCTTTCTTTAAGTGATCTCAGCCTTTGGCTCCAATCACCATGTTTACTGATGATTCTCAAACTCACAACCTTGAATTAGACTTCTCCTCTGAGATCCAAACACTATCAATCAGCTTATTTGAGATCTCCCCTTGGGTGTCTCAACATGCACTATCACATGCAGACTGGACTCATGACCCCGTCCTGCTTTCCAATCTTTCAAGTTTAATTTTAAAGTTCTCTAGATCTATTCTGCAAATTGCATTCCAAGCATGTTCTCTCCAGCATATTTAGAAAAACACTATAATGACTGGCAGAGACTAGAAAACTATCTCAAATCCCACTTCTATAAGCAAGTTTTAACTCCCAAATGTCTATTTTACCCTTCAAATTCAAAATTGAAAAGAAAATCTGAATGAAATCATAGTGGCCAAGTTCTTTAATTTCTTATAAAAAACATTAGTTCCTAAAGATACAATCCAAGATTCAGGATTCTTCCAATGGTGTCATTCCCATCCCATTAGAAATAGCCATTGTGGGGGCCAGCCCCATGGCCTAGTGGTTAAGTTCAGTAGACTCCACTTTGGCGGCCCAGGTTCAGTTCCTGGGTGTGGACCTACACCACTCATCAGCAGCCATGCTGTGGCGGTGACCCACATACAAAATAGAGGAAGACGTTAGCTCAAAGTGGATCTTCCTCAAGCAACAAGAGAAAGATTGGTGACAGATGTTAGCTCAGGACGAATCTTCCTCAGCAAAAAAGAAATGGCCACTGTGGACAGTGATCTTGGTAGGGTCTCACATATTAAATACACACACTTAATAAATTAGCATAACAGGTCTACATATAGCCATTCCTAATTTTCTTCAATGAGATTCACCAACTATTACGAGACTACAAATTTCTTGAAAGTAGGGACTCTTTATTATCCATATTTGAATACCAAGCGCTAAAACCACCTAGCACATAGAAAGTCCTCTATATTTGACTCAGTCACCACACATTTCTTCCTCCTCTCGCTTCACACACAAAGTTACTCGATTGACTTCTTTCCTTCTACAGAGTCATCTTTGAAGATATTGGAATGAAAAGGGTACACTTATTGGCTCTATCATTTCTTAGTCATATAAACTTATGCAAATTATTTACATTCTCAATCTTATTTCTCTCATCTGGGAAGTAAGGAAAATATAATCTATTTAATGGAGTTTAATAAAACAGTAGAGAAGTGCATTCTAAAAGGAACTATGACTGTCTAAATTTGAATCTGCTGCTACTCATGCCACGAATTTGCCAGAATTATTTTCTCCATGCTGCCTTTAAACCTGGAATGAATTCTTCTGTACCTTTCTCCATACTGGCCAATCAGTCATCTTTATTCAAGAGTGGCATTAATTTATAGAAGCAGCTGGAGCAGTTAAACTCTGACTAAAGTAGTTTTTCAAGCACAAGACATATTTTAGTCAAAAGAGAGCTATGACTATAAAATAATGAGATAAATTCTCTTGAATAATTTTTAACTGCTTCCTAAGGCAACTTGTAAAGAGTTTAAGAAATTATTTAGGCAATGGTAGAACCACTGGAATAGGTAAACACTCTCCCCAAGTAAATTCTTTGAAATCTATCATTCACTCGGACGTTTTAAGTTATGGTGTTTGTAGCTTAAGACATCATTCTCCATACTTTACAGTCTACCTATGAGTAGATTTTAAAACAAACAGGGGGCTTAAGGGTAAGAAGCATTTTCAAACCTTGTTCGTCATAGTCTTGGTGTGTTACATCATCTGCAAAAAAGAGAATAAAACCAAAATAAATATTGAACGATCATTCTGTGTAATTGCTTAGCTAAAAAACAACACTCTGAAATACAGAATTCTATTCTTTTAAATATTAATGTCTGCAGTTAGTGATAAATGACTCTGCCCAAAAGCAACTAGAGGAAAGGGCAGGTACGTTATTTTCATAAAAATTCCTCAAACTGGCATAAAAAAAGATATGCAAAAGGAGCATTAGGAATAAATATCCTGTTTTGTTGTGGAGCCGGTGGTAGACGAGGTGAAAGGTGAAAGCTTGACATTTTATTAACCACCTAATTTTGTCAGGCAAAGTCTTATATTAGGTGTTAAAATTACTTCTTTGAGGGGCCAGTCCAATGGCATAGTGGTCAAGTTCACGTGCTCTGCTTTGGCAGCCCAGGGTTCACAGGTTCAGATCCCGGGCAGGGACCTATGCACCACTCATCAAGCCATGCTGTGGCGGCGTCCCATATAAAGCTGAGGAAGATGGGCACGGATGTTAGCCCAGGGCCAATCTTCCTCAGCAAAAAGAGGAGGATTGACAACGGACGTTAGCTCAGGGCTAATCTTCCTCACTCCCCCCCAAAAAAATTACTTCTTTGACTCCATTGAAAGAAAAATCACCATGTTAGCACAGCATTGCAACTGTGAAGTCTTAAGTAATGTTTAAAATCTAATGAATATGTTCACTAATACCTGCATCATGGAACATTCTTTCATGGTCTACTGCTGGTTCAATGGAATCTAAAAAGAAAAAATATACACCTTTGCCAAACATGAAAAAAACAAACACATTACTAGACACCATTCTAAAATAGTTATAAATTAATTCTAATCTTCACAATTACGTAAGATAGATATCATCCTTACCATTTAATAAAATTTAAGCCAAATAAAGTTGTATAATTTGCGAAGTCACAAAGATAGGAACTAGCAAAACTAGGATATACACCTAGTCTGACTCCACTACATACAACGCCTCATTAATTTCCAAATATTCTTTCCAGTATCCTATCTATGAAGACCAAGGTCCCAACCTGTGGTTTGAAAAACAAATCTCCTTTTTTCCTCATTTCTTCATGTAATATTAAACTACATTCAGAAATTTCTATAAATATCTGGGCAACTAAAAATGATTATGAGTATTATAAAGAGTACTCCGTGTTGAATCAGATCGAATCATTAACTCTGGGTTAAAACGGCCTTGGCCACTGCCTCAAACAGAAACACATATCACAAACCTGGATTTTCCTGTTCATATATCATCTCTTCCATATCCTGATTATAGGCTGGTGAAGCTAAAAATTAGAAAATAATTAGGAAATTATAAATATATTTCAAATTAGAAGGATTACACTTGATATTTAAGACAGGAAAAGAACAATTTTTAGTGATGATAGAAATGTAAAATCAAATGATAATGATGTTCAAACTTTTATTCACTCGTGGAACAAATAGGCACTAACTGTGCTAAATGCCAAATACAATGATGAATAAGACAGTCTTCATCATCAGTGGGTTTATAATTGAACCACAAAATCGTGGAGCTATATTCACATTTAGCTTATGTGAATTCAACTATATTCAGCAAAACAAAAATGAGACAGAGAGAACAGTGCAGGTGAGCCCTCCTGCCATCCATTCAGCGGTACCTGCCACAGAGTGAGCCTGAGTGAAGACATGCACATCCCAGACTCTCACTTGGCCTCAATACCAGACTACTCCCAGACTGCAACATACTTCTAGTGCTTACAGATACATATGGTTGAAACGATACAGGGCCTAAATGCCAGCCAACAATATTATGTGGTCCTCAAGCACAGAAAGAAGGATCCATTCCAACACTGGAAGAAAAACTGGCGAACAACTCAGGCTTACTGAAAGATGATGTGTTCATCTCCAGTGTGGCTATACCTTCCGGAGACACATGACATGTGACAATACACAATTCTGACCTTTCACTGACTTTGTAATTTAAGACTACAAAACATGCAATTCTACTATATCTTTTGACCTAGTAATTCCACTACCGGAATTTGTCCTCAGCAAGTAGACTTCAAAGGCACAAAAGCTATATTCACAAAGACAGATATATATATCTGACACAATATAGTAAATATAACTTAATTATTAGATGTATATTATATAGGCTATTAGATATACTATAAAACAGATTACTATTAATAATTATAGATAACGTTATCTCTCTCTTTCATGATGCTCTTTTATAGGAAAAGAATCATTCTAATTAAAACATAGTATTAAATTAAAATCTCACCTGTCTCTTCTACATGGTTACTGTCTTCAGTTTCTGAAAAAAAAAACATTAAATCAGTATTACTACTTTCATAAAACGGTATGTACATATACTATGTATATTCTGAATCTATGCTTAATGTTGATTTTATTTTGAAAGCAAATAACTATTAAAAAAAAACATGAAAATAGCAATTAAATGTCTGCTAGACACTCTATCTTTCACTAGAACTACACTTAGAAATGTCTCAATGTTCTCTTATTTAATCCACTCAACAACCACACAAGGTTGACACACACCTTAACTTGGGCAAAAGAGACAGATGATTTACACAGAGTAACACAGTGACAAAGGCTGGACCCAGGAAACGGGCTCATTTCTGGTCTACTTCGCATTCCACTAAGTTGTTCTATTTTCTAGAGCAAGAGTACCTCGTCTATACGTGGGAACACAAAGGAAGAACAGGGAGACTTTCTAAGTGTGGGGAGCTGGAAGGTAAAGGTGTTGATAATTTAACCCACATACCCATGATTGCAAGCTGCTGCCACTGTATGATCCTCTCCACTCGCGTAACCCTTGTTAATTTTATTCAACAGCTATATGAAGTGTAAATATTTTTAATTTCTGAAGACTTTTAATAAGTAACTTTGAAGTTCAAACTGAATCTACAGCCCAATTAAATAAAATTAGGTTTTTCAATTTATGAACTTTTTAGAAATGTTTCTTCCTACCCTCGATCTCTAACTCCTAACCTTCAAAAATATAAAATTCTTATGATTCGGATTATTTGAGCTTCTTAACTGAAATCTGCTGTATAAACAGCATCTAAGATGCCAAAATTCTGAGTAACTGTCAATCTTTCTGAGCCATCCTGGCCGAAGACAGGATGGAGCAGGATACACCAAGGAAACGTGGAAACCATTTTGTCAGCATTCCCACTCAGAAATTAGAAACATTTTCCCCATAGAAATCATGACATACATGATAACTAAAGGTCTAAAGTTCTAAAGCTAGTCTACAAAGGCCTATTTTCAACGCACAATGCAGCTGAAATCATATACATATTCAGAAGCATTTTGAGTTTACATTTTTCAAAGGAAATTATGCCTTATATACAATTTTGTAGGTTGGTATGGAAACCAAACCATCACTTATAACATTATTTCTATGAAAAAGTGCATTTCCTGCTCTCAACAATAGGCATGAATATAAACTTTTGGAAATACAGTCACTTATAAATTAGGAGCTGCTGACTTCTAAAGTAGTTTCCCAATATATTAAATATTATGAGTAGATATATCTCACTTTTTCATAACTTTTATGCTTTAAAATAGTCCTGCAACCATTTGCCAACCATACTGTGTGCAGGCTACCTCTCCACTCAGTCCTCAGCCTGGACGAGTCCCGGGGCGCCGCCTGACCCCACTGGCTCTGAGCACAGATGTTCAAGCCCTAACAGCAGAGTAGGAGATGTGACGTGAGGCACAGGAAAAAATAGCCCAGCCATCCTTGCTCAACCCTGGCTGCATTTTAATATCACCTGGGGACTTTGTACAATTATCCATTTTGGGAGCCCCACACCCCAAACATTCAGAGTCACGTTGTCTAGGGTGAGTTACAGGGATTCTTTTAAAAGCTCTCTAGGTGATAATAATTGCATCCAGGATTGAAAACTATTTGTAGGGTTATCAGTCCATCTTAGTGGATCTTGTTCACAAGAGCTTCTGCCTCTGAATCCATGACCCTATGGCTCCAGCCCTTTCTACTCTTACTGGCGCTGTGGATCTGATCTACTGCCTGCTTCTCACCGTTCTGTCTCCCTCTCTGGACTCGGTTTGGGCTTGGCTAATCCTTGAACCCTGCCAGGCGCCTCTGGTCTAGATCCCTTGTGACTTGTGGTGCCGTGTAATTGCACGGGTTGTAAGGCAACTCAACCAAAGACTGATTATTTTATGGTGGAACTTAATGTGCAATGTGGTTAATTTTGTGTTGGTGCCATCGACCTTTACCCCTCAGTTTCAGGCTTTATTTTTCTTTTTGCTTTTCTTTTATTACTCTTTAGAAATGAAACATCCATGTTAAATAAACAAAGTTTCATTAGCACTCATTTTAAGTCTAAAATTATATCATTTATATATTTATATATTTTAAATAAAATGACATAAATCAATCCAAGTTCAAAACTTGTGGCTTAAAATCTTTTAAGAACTCATAAAGTCTTAAAGGACTCCTTTAAGGAAAGAGGACATAAGAACAAAGCATGTGCACCTCATTCAACAGGGTTTCAAATAATCGTGGTAGTCTCATGTTAAAGCATAGCAGAGCACAAAATATAAGAATAAAAAGTTTTCATCATTACAGAAATTACTTCTTTGTATGTCAGTGGAGAATAAAGATAACTCTAGGTTGCCTACTGCAACGAGACAAGGTAAACAACTCAACTGATATTTAAATAACTAGCATTTAATTTACAGTATTGATAGACACAGACGTCAGCCAACTATGGTCCATAGCCCAGACCAGGCCTGCCTCCGACTCTAAGTTCTACTGGAACACAGCCACACTTACCCATCAGGTATTGCCCAGCTGCTTCTGCTCTACAATAGCAGAGCTGAGTAGTGGCAACAGAGGCTACAGTGTCTGTAAAGCCTAAAATGTTGACCCTCTGGCCGTCTACAGAAAAAGTTTGCCAATGCCTAGTACAGAAGCAAAGAATTGTGTTCTACCCTCTGTAGTTACAGATTTCATGTTAGAACAAGAGCCTGTGATAGATTATCAAGCAGCATATTTCATCAGTTGTTCGAATTTCTTATAACACTTGACACTCTAGGAAGGAGAGTACAGTAAAAGTAATGTGCTGAAGCATTTCACTGACTTTCTATAAGAAATTTATATATTCTGAGAGTTTCCCTAAAAGTGCTTTCAATCAAAATTGGGATATCTATTTATTTTAGGAAAAAAATTCATTGTAATTAAGTTTCGGCTTCAACTTTAAAAAAATATAGGTTTTAAAGGCATTTAAGAAAAAATTCAACAATCATAATTACAAATTGCCTACTGTGTTTTAGTCTAGAACCAAAAAACGTGTTCTACCTTCATGAACTGTTCCAGTTTCCAGGGCCTCAAATCTATCATCTGCGTTACCTCCCATAAGGAAATCATCATCGTCTGGTGGCAGCTCTCTTGCTGGCTCACCCTCCTCATGCTGCAGGTCTTCTCCTTGAACAGAGATGATAAACAAAGTGACACGGGTGTACAGGCAGCAGCCCGCAGGCACACAAGCCCCTCTGAAGGGCTGCCACATACCCGCTCCCGCTGTGGGCATGCCCTGCCCCTCCTCTGGGCCACTGTACATGCTGCTGCCCCCTCTGAAGCTCTGTTCCCACTCTGGCCGAGTGCTAGTCCACCTCAGTAGAGAACAGGTCTTCTCTCACTAGAACATGAACTCACCAAGGACCGGGGCCTCATCTATTTGGTTCACTAGGTATGCTCAGCATCTAGGGCCATGCCAAGCCATAGGAAGTGCTCAACAAATATTTAACGAATGAATAAATGAACTCATAATTATTAATATATTTCCCTCTTCAATTTTTACGAGGTCAGAGAAAAGGTTACTCTGTGACCTCTCCTTGAGAATTGACGTAAAATTCCATGTAACAGTCTTAAATAACTCCATACAAATGTTCTGTTTCAAAGAATAGCCAACAACCTATCGAAACCATATGCTAGGTCATCGTGCATATCTAGCTAGGTCACTGGTATTATACTTTGCATCTGAAGGTTCCTATCTTTAGCCTTTAAGTTACACAAAGATGCCCATTTTCTCTTCTGAGACTAGCTTTTATGATATACTGAACTGTTGTGGTTTTTTTGTGTAGATGTTGAACATGCTACATTATTCCACTGCAATATGGTTTAGCTTGTTACTGTGGTGTAAAAAAATTCTCCCAATAGAAAATTGGGAATTTGAGAATTCCTCTCAAAACTGCAGGAAGGTTTCCTTAGTTACTTTACTTTCACTGTGGCATAGTGATGCTCTCAGGTGTTACTGAATTATGTAGGTCCATTTATGTCAAAACTACAGTCATGTGTCACTTAACGACAGGGATACGTTCTGAGAAATGCATCGTTAGGCAATTTTGTCATTATGTAAACACATAAGTTTGTCTAAGTGCACAGAGTGCACTTAGACAAAACTAGATAGTACAGTCTACTACACACCTAGTCTATATGGTACTGATCTCATGGGACCACTGTGTATATGGGGTCTGTTGTTGACCAAAACGTCATTACGCAGCATATGACTGTATTTATTTGTTTTCTGTCTTCTCATCATAGCCTGCTATACTGTTTCTCCTCATTTCAGATTTCCTGCTACTCAGCAAACTAATCACCAATTCTAATTCCTGTCACTAATTTTACAACTCTTTTTCTTCTTACCATATTCCTTTTTCCTTACTCTCATTTTACCCAGTGCAAGTTTATAGTTTTTACATAAGCAGGTTTTAGCTCTCTCAGCCATCACCATTCAGTGGAAAGTCTGTTTTCAGCAGGGAAACCAACCAAACATCGTACACTATCTGTGAGTCTCCACTGCTCTCTCAGTGATAGCCTGGTATAAAGAAGATAGTTTCCTGAGGGCTTACTGGACTCAAGGCATTGCCAGGCCCTCTGCAGCCAGTACATCAACCCTATGAGGGAGGTACAATCATCCTACGTTGGAGAAGCAGGGACTTGAGAAACTTTGCTAAAGCCACACAGCTAATAAATGGCAGCTGCAGGGCCTGAACCCAATAATGAAATACAGAGTGATCGGGACAGAGAGGCTGCTTTAGAGATGGTGGTCACGGGGGCCATGTTTGCTCTGACAAGACGTGAGGCCTGGCGTGTGCGCACGCACGCATGCACGCGCGCGCGCGCACACACACACGCCAACAGAAGATGTAACAGGTGCAAAGGCCTCAAGGTAGGGATGGGCTTAGCCATTACATGGAAAAGAGAGAAGGCCAGTGGGCTAGAGAAAAGTGACTGAGGGAGAAACAGACTGGCCCAGATAAGGCACAGTGGGCTGGGCCACATCAAACACGGGGTGTAGAGGAGCAAGGACGGAAACAGGGAGCCAACTGGATGCTCCTACAGTGGTCACGGCAAGAGGTGATGGTGACGCTGACACACTGCAGAGTCAGGACACAGGCTGGAGGCAAAGCCGACAGGACGCGCTGATGAATTACATACGAGGGGAGACAAGGAGAGAGAAATCGAGGGGACTCTCAGGTTTTTAGCTTAAGCAACTAAGTGGATAGGGAGACCATTAACCAAAACATAAAAGACTGGAATAAGAGCAAAATTTGGGGGTGGGGGGAGAGCTGTGATATGGAGAGGAATCAAGAATTCAGTTTTAGGTACATTTTAAGTCTGAGATACCCTAAAACATGCAAATGGAGATAAGTACGCAGCTGCATAAACCAGGAGCTTAGATGAGAGACCAGGGCTGCAGGTGTACACTCAGAAGCAACACAAATAATATCTAAAGCCATGGCCTAAGTGATTTTCTAGGCAGAAAGTCTTGATAAAGAAGAGAAGAGAACAGGTCCAAGACCAAGGCTGTGGCAAGAAACTCCAGCGCTAGACTTCATTCCTCCCTCTTCTGTCTGGCTTCCTACACCCACCCACCTAAATGTCTACCATGTCCTTCCACTATCCTCTCTCCCCACCTTTGACTAACCATCTCCACCTCACTCAGGTTACCAGTACCACCTCCCATCAGATCTCCCTGCTGCACACTCCCTGCAACTCATTTTTCATGCTGCAGACAGAACGCACAACACTCCTCAACACCCTTCAATGGCTGCAATTACTCCAAGAATCAAGTAAAAATACTCTTTTCCTCATCACTCTCTACCTCTCTACCTACGTATTCCACGTGCCAGGCATCCTGAACTACTTTCAGATCCTCTTTAGCCTCTGGACATTCACACATGCCACGCCCTTTGCTTAAAACACTCTAGTCACTAACAACATCTGCCTAGCAAAGCACTACACCATCCTTCAGCTCCTCAGTCAAGATGTCATTTTCTCCAAGAAGCTTCTGCAAACCCCAAAGTCTGAGCAAGCCCCACATAGCATCCTGTGTTTCACTATTACAGCACTTGGCTCATCATATTGAAATCAGTTCTTTATGTAGACTGCATCATCTGTGTGTTAGGCAAAGTTAAAAAAAAAAAAAAAAAAGAAGATCCAGGAAGGGAAGGTCCGCACTTGTTCATATGTGCAGACATACACTCAGGGCAAGTAGCTCTCCCAGCTGAGAAGAAGCTGGTAACGAAAGAATACAGGCTCCTAGAGCCCCAGCAGCCAATGGCACAAACCCACCACTCAGCCACACCTGGTCTCCCCAGACGAGCACAGATGGAGCCAGGTGGGATGCTCCACACTTAACCCCAACACCCAAGACTGAATAAGTTGGTTTAGGAGACCTGCTAAAGCCCAATTTAAATGATAGGGAATTCTGCCTTTTGTTTTTAAGAAACACAATCTTTCCTTCAGAACTATCTTCAGCTTACACCAAACCATTAGGAGTATCAGGAGACGAAGTGCTCTGTCCCCTGCAAAATCCCTCTGTGAGTTATATTTTGGGGTTATACTCTCTGCTTTTATCAAGGGATGTTTCAAGAAACAGTCTTATAAAATCTAAAAATGTTGGTTTCTAGAGTATCATTTAACATTCTCTGTATAGAACTTCATAGAAGAAATTTTTTAGATGTAAGAGCTGGGAAAATGCTTTATATTCTCTAAGTAGACAGCATGTTTATTTCCTCTCTGGTAACAGGACCTACATAATTGAAAGTTTCTCCTTTTTGCTTTGGCAACCACCAAAGCACACAGTAAAATTTGAGGTCTGACCACAGCACCCAGACAGCCCCTGACAGCTTGCTTGGTTGTGCTCTATTTTCCTCTACCCTGCTCTTCCCATCTGTTCTTGATGTATCATTGGTCTCGATTTGTTTATTCTCATTTATTCCCACCATTTCTTTCTTATATGTATGCAATAAGTTCCTTAACAGTAAGGTGGGGTAAAATAAAACATGTCTAGTGCTATTTCAGAAATACCTGTCCTCTAATAACTTAAAAAAAAAAACCCAAACACTCAATTATTATTTAAAATAATGCCCAAGTCATTTTATGTAATTAACCATTATTTTAATAATGCATGAAAAAACAGTAGATTTTAATTCATACCAGGTTCTGTGTATACCGTTTCATGGAGAACGGAATGAACTTGTTCTTGTACTTCATCTTCAATATTCTGAGGTCCTAAAATAATTACAAAACATAACTAAGTAGAAAAAATCTAGACATTAATGTAGAACATGAAATATGGCATCCATGTATACACATTCAACTGAATATAATTGGCTAATCAACTATCCATCCTTTTCATATCAGTTTACCACTTTTTTTTCTGTTGGCAAATATGATAGATATTTAAAATCGGTTTTATTTTGACAGCAGTTATAAGTGTTAAAAAAACTTCTCCATAAGATTTTAAAAAAAGAAAACTAATTCAGGTTTAGAGTTTTTTTTTTTTAAAGAAACCTCACTCAGAGCAAAATTACTTCAGCTTGTAATTAACAAAATTCACAGTGATGGTAGAATAAAAAAAAATGGCAAGAGCAAAACTTTCAGAAAGGGAAGTACTAGGGACTAAGGATAACAATGTGGAAGAGGAAGTCAACAGACATTAAAGTATATGGTCAGCCTCTGTCTTTCCTGTTAGGGGAAAGGGCCCCAAAGCTCGGGTGAGGGCTGGGATGGTCCGGGTTGGCTGACCGCTCCCAGAAGTCAGCAGGCAGCATGAGTCGACCTTACATTATAACTGACAATCCTTTCTGCTTTGGAGAACCCCATCTGGCAGCCAGATCCATAGACTCAAATAGACGTAAATTACAAAAGTGAACAACATTAGTAATGACATTCTGACAACACTGTGATGCCTGCTGGGTTATCAGGTTTATTGCAACATCACACAACAAACAAGAAGCTATAATTACATTGACACTACTATAAATTTTCTGTGTAATAAACATAATCTATGTTCAGTAAATAGAAGCAGTACTAGACTTAGTATCATGAATGCTGTCACATGAAATAATACCAACGACATCAGTTATTTTGTTGAGCTAATCTTCAATGACAAAAACAGAGCAAGTTAATTTGAACTTCAGATAGGAAAAAAAATTTAAGAATCTATTATGCTAATAACACTACAAAACCATTTCTGAAGCACAAAAAGTACCTTCTATTTTTATGGATGTTTTTATTTCACAAACCAGTTTTTTATATATTCTCAAATAATTACAGAAGAGTCTGCTGATATCTATTCCTCCCTCATCATCTCTCACGATGCCTGTGATAGATTCCTAACTGGATTCCCAGTTTTCCACCTGCTGACAGCAGTGCCCAGAGAATATAACATGAGTAACGTAAGAGAAGCAGAGGGGTGAGGCTCTGGTCCTTCACTTAACCCGCCACTGGCTTCCTTTGCCTGAACAAATGAAAATCTAAGCTCCTCGGAACAGAATACAAGACCTCCACAATCCAGCCCTCACGTGCCTCTCCAGAATCTCTGCTACAGCACTGGCTTTGACCTTGGTGAGGGCACCATGCGATTCCATCTTTCCATGATGCTACGATGCTCCTCTTTTCCTTTGGGGAGGGTTGGTAGAGGCAGAAGCCAGACTGTGATGAACTAAAGATTGAGTAGAAAATATGGCAAAAAAGCAACTGTAGATTCTTCTTTCAAAACCCTGGTTAGTGCAGCAAGGAGAGGGACTGAAGGGCAGATAGAGAGAACTGTAGGGACCAAGAGGGAGTTTATTTTATTCTGTTTTAATGAGAGGTATGTACTTATGTCTACAGAATAGGTGAGTAGTCAGAGAAGAGAGAGAAGCTAAAGGACTAGGTAACAGAAAGGTTGAGAAGGCAACATTTAAACTAAAACAAATATGGCCAAAAAGTTGAAAAGGATATGAGCTGATAATAAATTGATGGATTTAGGAGGACAAGTTATCAGTAATATGCAAAGAGTAGTATTAACAAAAAACAAAAAAGGAAGAGTGGAAGCAAATGGAACAATATTTCAGAGCAGGTACCAGTTTTAAAAAACAAGATTTTTAAATTATAAATGTACTTAGTACAAAGTAAAGCTTCAGGTTCCAAATACAAATACACATTTAAATTATAAAATTAAAAACAAGTCTTGCTCCAGAGCCGTGGTATGACTATGGCAATTCCACAGGAACAGGAGACAGTAAATTCTCCTGGGATTATGATTTGAACAAATAAAAAAAAAAAATCAGCAACATATTGATCTTAAAAGGAAGGAAGGTAAATCAAATATTACTCATCAGTATGCAGTGATAAAATCAGCCAAGTACCATGTGGACCCAGTACTTAAGTTGCCAGTAAATATGCAGTGTCATACCTAACACTTTCAATAGGTGGCAAAATTAAACCAGATTTTTGAGTACTGAATAAATGAAAAATGTACAGAAATGACATAGTACTTTGTAATAAATACCACAGCATAAAAAGGAAATGATAGTAATGGATTCAAATTTCATTTACCAATTTATTAAGAGATTTTAGGAGTTTCTATCCTATGGGTCACAGGCCTGTGGGTGATAAGAAGATACTTGTATTGATCCATGAATTCATGTAGATGCAAAACAGGCTTCACAGACTATCTGGGAAGTCTTTTGATGTAGAAAGGAGACTCTCATATTAAAAAGACTGGGAACCCAGTAGACCAACTCTAGTAAATAATGTGACAAACGATGACAAAACTAGTGTACAATACGTGTCTAATTTTACTTTCAATGTAATATGGGACAGTAGTCCTGGAAGTAGAATCAAGACACAGCATTTAGTCCATGATGTTCCTAACTGTGTGATCCCAGGCAAGGAGCAACCATCTGCGCCTTCAACTCTTGATCTCAAAAATTAAAATTATCCTGTGTAAATTTGTACTAGAAAAAATTAAGTTCACTATAAAATTTCAGAAGAAGAAAAGGTAATTCATCATTCTGTAAACATTGTGAAACAAATTATGGGTAAAACAGGATTCTGCAAACTGCAAACTGGGATCCCTGGCAGGCTGAGGCACATCCAGTCAGAATTAGAGAACGCTTACCTGGCCCCTCGAGAATCTGATCCTCCAGCCACGGGTATGGCTCAGCCTCTTCTGGCGGGACTGTTGGCTTTGAAGCAGATCTTTCTTTAAGGCCTGCATTTTTATTCACAAAGTTAACTTAAGTTTTTTTTCTTTTTTTTTTGACATGTTAAGCCAGGAAAAATAACATTCTCAAACACTTCATCAATAGCGCAATTTATAGTTTCCAAGACTATATACTACAGGAAAATGTTGATATGCTTAAAAACTGAAGTAGGGAAATAGTTTGCTCTTTAACTTCACATGGGCCTTTAACATCTCCTTATCTAAATTAACCTTTCACTTAAAATATTAAGTCATTGTTTACATGTTCATGAATCGCTAAAATATAAAGTCATGTCTGAACTTGCCAAAAGAAGTTCAGTATGAGTTCAAGCTCCTTGTGTTCATAAGTGACTAATTAACTCCTAAGCCTGAACTCTGAATTGAGCAATAACACAACTAAGATGCATTTGAACTTTCTACTGTTATTTGTGCACACTCTGTATTTTGATTTGTATATACTCTTCTTGAAAATTATAGCTAAAAATGAGAAGAAATAATACATAACTCACTATTTACAATCTTCTAAAGGTAACACTTAAGCAATCATATTATTCCATAAGAGCTCAAAGGCATGAAGAAAAGTTCTTTTTTGGTTTTTGTTTTTTATGTCTTAAGGAAAATAAGACATCAGGGTAAACTACCATGAAAGCTGATTTGAAAGTCAACGTGAGTCTGAAATCTATTATACTAAGTTAGTTCTTTGATATTTTATATGTAGAAAATTTAAATATATCCTCAATTAAATATAACTATTTAGAAAGCTAAACTGGCTGGGTTAAAGAGTCTGACGATTCCATTTACCAAGTCCTGGGTTCTTCACCACCCCACCAAGAGTGGTACCAAGAGTTGTCACTAAAGGGAGTGTGTTGTGCATGTCAACAGCCTAGAGTGAAAAGGTCAAGACAGAATGGAGAAGCGTTTTTCTCATCTTGGCACCTTTATCCAACTCTTAACGTACATATACTCTTGTCCAGAAAATTCTCATTTCAATGTCTTTTACTCTTCTGTTTTGATTCTTTATATTTTTCCTTATCATTCTCTTTTCTATCTCTCTTCATTTTTCTCTCATTGACAAAAACAAAGTCACCCTCTCCTCTTCCAAATCCTAAAAAGACACTGAGACAGGACTCCACTTCATCACTCATAAATCCTCTCGTTACTTATTTCCAACACTACTTACTCAAAAACGCTAGCGCGAGTAAAACAAACACCAACACACACAGCTGTGTTCTACACCTAACTATAAAGTGACTTCTAACTATAAGATAGATTCCAAAGAGATCATACACCAGTATTCACAAATCCTAATGCAGTTCAATTTCACGGGGTGGAGGGCCAGAGAGGAAGGCCTATTAAAACACATCACAGCTCAAACTCCAAATTCAGGGCGGAAAATCCCTATGCCCTTTTTCATTTAAATAATCCATTCCTACATCTCTCAACTGTTAAGGGAACTACTCACTGCCATGTTTGGCTAAATGAATAGGGCAAACCTTGAGAATCTTCAGAATCAATTAACATATCTTTGCACCCTCTGCACCTCAGGAAACCCGGCACACAGCAGGTGCTCAATATGTGCTGAAGGGCTGAATACACCCGCCGGTGTGACCACTCTGCTCGTTTAAATGGCTGCAGAGATTCTCCGTAGGGCCAAGGCTTCTCAGCTGCACTAGAGTGGCTTAGTGCTGTGAAGGGGGGAAGGGGCTTGCATTTATTTCCCTACTACTGCTGACCTACGAGATTGCGATCTGTGCTCCAGCACCCACCAGTTCAACGCCACAGGCCTGGTCTGCCTGGGGCAGTGCCAGTTCATGTCTGTTGTCCTGGTATAATTATTTCCCTTTCAACAGTCCCTCAGTTTGGAGGAAAAATTACAGGGTCATTCTTCACTAAGCCCATACGTAACAGGTTTTCAAACTGTGGGTTCAGTAAGCAGTAAAATATTTTTCTGCCAAATAATAAAGATTTAAACTGCCTGAAAATCCCATTCTTACTGGATTTTGAGAAGTTTCATTTGAAAATAAATTTTGTTGCTAAGTGTTTGCAAAGTACTAGTATACCAATATTCAGACATACAATGCCCCTAACAGTCAGCTTTCTCGAAATCAACTGGAAGTTGTTAGTTTCTAAAATTGAAATTGTAAAACATGAAAAACAACAGGAGAAAGGGAAAGCATATAACAAGAGAAAATACTGAGCACTTTTCTTTTCTGTCCAAAGTGGCAGCAGAATTGTCAATTTATTGATACCTCCTTTTCCAGAGAAGTCAGCACAAAAATAAACATTGTAAACTTCAAAGAAGCTAAGGACCATATTAACACATTGCCTTCCCTAAACCCCTATAAACTTTCTAAAACTTAACAGAAACACACTCTAGACTAATTCTTATTGCTTTGATGACCCATATGGAAGAATGAACCCTACAAGCTTTTACTCTGGTGTTCCCAAAAAACATTTCGCCACCCACATCCATTTTAGTCCATGAATAAGTGCTCCTCAGACAACAGTGATTTGTAAATCCATGTTTCATATAAGATTTCAGGCAACACATAAACAAAAATTAAACAAGGAACATGAATGCATATAAGGTCAATTCACAATCAGAAGAATGGTTTTCAAATTGGATTTATTATAAGGTACAATGGCAAGGACATAGCACTGAAATAAATATTCAGAATTATGTGATGAAATGAATGTATCGGTTTGGATGTTCCTGGGGCTGCATATAACAAACACCAACGCACACTGGCTTGAGCAAGAAGGAAATTTATTATCTAACTTCACCAGAAGTGCGGAGGCAAAGCTGGCTTGCTCTCAGCAACGGCTTCATCCTCGGGCTGGCAATCAGGGTTTCCCCACCAGCTGCAAGCTCCCCTTCCAGATAAGATGATGTCCAGAAGCAAAAGGTGCTCTGCTTCTTTCTTAGGCGTGAGGAAATCTTTCCTAGAAGCTCCCAACAGTCTTCTCTTCCGGTTTTAATAGTCAAAACCAGAATCCACTTCCATTCCTAAGCTGGCAAGAGGAACAGGATGACCACAATTGCCTGACAGTAATTATCTAGGGTTGAATAAATGTTTCGAGTCAACCACAACAGCCCCTATGTGATTTGGAAAATAAATTAATTCTCTGAAAGTGTACCTTCTTTTTAGATTTTTGGGCACATCAGATAAATCAGGAAATTAAAAAAAAAAACACAAAACATTATGTTTGCATTTCAAACATACATAATTTTTCCTCCAATTTCAAGTAAAAATGGAAGAAGTTACAAAAAGTAAATGAAAATGAGCACTTTAAATAACCATTCATAGCAAATTTGATTATCTGACACAATCACCCTAGACCAGTATTAGCTTACTTCATTCACTGCTACCCAACTACACCTGACCATATGGGAAAGAATAAGTGTATTTTCTTCCCACAAATATGCGATAGTTTAAAACTTACTAAATTGCATACTGCATTTATTCATTCAACAAATAGTTAGCATGTACTAATGCAAGGCACTGTTCTACAGAAAACCAACACACAAAACCCCTACCTCCCATAGAGAGGAACAATTAAAAGAAAAGAAACATGAAATAGAGTATATCAGATGGGGGAAGATGGTATGGGGAAGACTGGGACAGGCAGCGCCAGGCCCTTAGGGAAAGGGGGCAGGGCTATTTGCAACACATGGAGGAGGAAAGGAACTCACTGATAAGATCTGAACAGACTCCTGAAGGAAATCAGGGATGTGGCCATGCGAGTTACAGAGGGGAAGAGTGCTCCTGGTAAGGCTCTGGAACAGCAAGTTCAACATTCCCCAGCGGAGAGGGTGCTGGGAGCAAGGAAGAGCCCAGTGGTCAACGCAGCTGGCGAGCGAGCAAGGGCGTGGGCATCGGAAAGGCCCTGGGTGACCAGATCACCGAGGCCTTTACTCTGAGTGAAAATGACACTTTTCATAAGACTTACATACAAACTGTTCCTCAACAAAATCTGGGCAAGTAAGAATTATAAATAGTATTTTGCTTCATAGGATTTTATATACTTAGCCCATAAAAGCTAAGACATTGCTAAAAATTAGTTTATCAATCTTTGGTTTACCAATTCAGTGGTGTACAGATCGACGAAAATTTTGATTTTACCAACCAAGGTTACTCCAGCTACTGTTATTCATGAAGGAGAAGTGCTCAGGACTGCTACTGCTTCAAATGTAAGAACAGACATCCCTAATTTATGCTGGTTCGACTTAAGATTTTTCGACTTCACAATAAGGAGAAAGCGATATGCATTCAGTAGAAATTATACTTGGAATTGTGAATGTTGATGTTTTCCTGGGCTAGCGATATGCGGTACAATCCACTCTCGTGATGCTGGGCAGCGACAGCGAGCCACAGCTCCCCGTCAGCCACACGGTCACGAGGGTGAACAACTAACACACGTACAACCATTCTGTACCCAGACAACCATTCTGTTTTCACTTTCAATACAGTATTCAATAAATTACATGAGAAATTCAACACTTTATTATAAAATAGGCTTTGTGTTAGATGATTTTGCCCAACTGCAGGTTAATGTAAGTGTTCTGAGCACGTTTACGGTAGAGTAGGCTAAGCTATGATGTTTAGTAGGCTAGGTGTATTAAATGCACTTTCAACTTACAATATTTTCAACTTAATATGAATTTATCAGGACGTAACCCCACCGTAAGTCAAGGAAGATCTAGAGTCTAACAATATAAATCAATATACCCTAACAGGTACACGAAACTAGAGAAATATTCTGGGAAATCAAACCAGAAAGGCATGCACACCAACCAACCATGCTAAATCTCGTTGTTGTTCCTGGCTTGTATAATCACGAACACAGATCTTAGCAGGTATCCCAACAGCGGTCCTAGAACTTATCAAAATTCTGAGACTGCCAGTGACTAATAGAGCTACCCCAAGATATATACAATGAGAGCCATTCCAGATTCAAAGCATCTTAACACAACCCAAGTGATGAAGAGACAGATTCAGGAAGAGGAG